AATCATATTTGCAGTTCCATCACATAAAGGCAGATTAAAAAAATATTGTTGACAGATGTGTAAAGTATACAAGTCGATAAACTGATAACCATGACTAACTGAGAGTTTAATTAGAACTACCGCCTAAATTTTAAATTAGTGGATCTTAATTAATAATAAATTTTATTTCAATTCTGTTATAGATCTAGATAAATATCAGATTCAGTTTCATATTATTGCGCATCTAGACCAATACTCTACATTTAATGAAGTCGGTGTAACACATACGCATTATAATTATACATTATATTCAATTCGATATAGGGTACGCGCATTTTGATGTATGATGATTTAATTGAAAAATGTTAATTTGTTTGGAATTGTATTTTTCCATAAACGCTTATTTGGCTTTAAGAATTTATATCGTTTCGTATATTGTGCGATATTTGTTTCATCCACTATGTACGATATTTTTATTGGTAAAGCTCTTGTGATAAATATGGAAAAAAAATATTATTATAAAAATAATATATTCACAGAGCATAAATATTTAAATTGCAAGCTAATTTTGAGTTTAAGTCAAGAGATCATTTCTGCTTTATATCTTGGCAATAACATTTTAATGGATAAAATTTTACGAATATTAGAGTTGATTACTACAATAGTTCTGTTTATATAAATGATATAAAGGATTTTAAAAAGTTTGTCAAAAGACTATAATAGATTTTTGAGAGTCCGGGACAGTCCCGAATTTCCAACTTGTGCCCCGGGTTTTTCTAAAACCATTTTTTGTCCCAGATTTACATCTTTTGTCCCGGATTGTCTCGGTTTTTCGAAAATTAATAGGTAAACTATATAAAAAATATAAACAGGTGATAATTTTCTAAAATTGATTAAATAGATAATTGAATAGAATTTCATACAAGGCTCAAAAATGAGAAAAATAGAGATAAAACATTGATAAAAAAATATTACATATAGTAGAATACAAAGATTCTTGCCAAAAGTCCGAAATTCCGATTAGAAAAAATGGATTCATATAAAAAACTGATTTTTTAGTTCCGGATTAGCATAACTAAAAATTGCCGAACCGGTTTTGACTTAAAAATATGGTCACCTTATGCATGCATGGTGTAGGATAGTTTACTTGTACCTCATAAATTTAATAAATATTGTATTTTATTAATTTTTCTAATATAAATATGTAATGTTATTTTTCCAAAAATGAAACAATTTATGTTTATTCAAAGCTGTTTCCATATAAATAAGCTATAACCTTTCTTTTATAGTGCACAGACGACGAAGACCAATAAGGCGCCATCCTGTCTCCCATTATTTACGAATTCAATGAACCAACGCCGTTCAAATATTTAAAGAGAAAGGTATTACAATAATTTTCAAGTGTTTGTCTACATGACTAAATAAAGAATAATTGAGTTTACACGTAATAATTCGGCTAGACATTCATTGTGTCATAATTGATGTTATTTCATACATAAACATTCTCATCTCTAATGTAATAACAAAAAAAATATTAACTCATAAAACTGGAATGATGATATCTCATTTTTAATGAATAGGATAAGTTCAATAGTAAAAGCACCATTGTTGTAGCGATAAAGCTTGTTATCATTCCAATAGACTTAAATAGAATTAACCGTTGATGTATAAATATAATACATATGGTGTGTGTGTTGTGCATGTGTTTACTTGCTCTTAATGATACATTTTAATTTCATAGCAAGAAGAAAATATAACTAGTGAAGCCCAGATTTACAACGATAACGAAGAATGAAAATGATAAAGAATTATTCTTGCCATTAAGTAATGGTTTCTACGGTATATAACACATTATTTATGCTTTGTAATCATATATGTTAAAATATATTGTTATTTATAAATTGTTGTTTATAATTTGAATAATATCTAGTTTAAACAGGCTGAAGTTTCGAAAATATTACAAATAAAGATACACTGAGATAAATAAAAACCAACTGATACAACATAACACAAACCTCATTAATTTTGATTTAAAGATCAACAGAAAAACACCTATCCCCCGCTTTATACGGAAGATAGGTTCCATAAAAAACCGTGTAACTCAAAATTCATTCTTATATGGAAAAACCGTGCTAATCGAAAATCACTATGAAAAGTCCTTCTGTCAATTTTTAATATGATGAATATCATACACATTGAACGAAAAATAAATATTAATATATTCAATATCAAAATGAAACAAATATGAAATAATCTTAAATATTACATTTTCTCTATAGATAAAAATTAAAATTAGAATTTTTTTGAGTTGATTGCGTTAAATGAAACTTAACATTTTTTTCGGTTTGGTTCTTCAAACAAACCTATACACACATACAATTTAGTTTTGATCATAAAACGGGGAGTTCCCATCTTATCCATTTTTCACATAGACATACACTACTAGAAATTCGTAAAATGTTGGCAGCAAAAAAAATGAGAATGTTATTATAGATATAGGCAAATTAATGTTTATAATTTCGTGTAAATGCAAATTTAATACATTTCGTTAAAAAACAATGTTTTCAAAAACCGTGTAAGTTCGAAAACGCCTAAAACGAGTACCTGCCGTGTAAAACGGGGATAGGTGTATGTGTAAAAAATAATTTACATTAACGGTGAATTTTTATTTTATGTTATAATAGATAGAAACAAATTTGTGTACAATTATTTTATTTTTTACAAGTTAAAAAAAATTAAATTACCATTTAATATCAATTCCTCCTCTTTATTACAGACAATTTTAAATGGCTCCCCATACGTCTATATCTTAATTATATATTATATGCAGATGCCAAAAATAAAATTTTATAATTTCATTTAAGTTTAATTTAAGCCCATATAAGCAACTTGTTTTACAAGGAACCTGATCCGCCTAATCAACTTATTGTTATTAATTAGTGAAACAAGTAGGTTTGGTTTATGTGAATTCCATTTCAAATAGATTTGTATTGGATAATAAGAAAGTTCAGTTTCGATCATAAAAACTTTGTGACTTTCTTAATAACTTTCAAACCGTATGTACAAAGATAAAAGTTTTATGAAGAAATTATCTATTTTGGTTAATTTCGAATTATAAACAATGTTGGACCATCTTATCAAGTAAGAAGTCCATTGAGGGTAGTAATATTATATACTGCCTAAATGTCTATAAAAGACTTAACATAACAGCGTAAAAATTTAAACAAGCTCCAAAAAAAATATTGTAACTTTGACTTTCTGTAACATTTAATCATATAATAACATATTATCATATTTGAACTTACATTATAAGATATTTACAAAATGTTATACTGTATGTTATACGTTACATATCAGCAGAATTTTTTGAGAAAATAATTAATAGTATTATGCTTAAAACTCTTCAGAGAACACCTAAATTTTTAACCAGCATTTCTCTAGGATATCATAAAATGAGGATATAAATCTATAAGAAAATCTACAAGGAAAAAGCACGATTAATGTTATAATTAACAAGTTAATGGCAGGATAAAATCAGAAACATTTTCACATGTGCAGTGGTAACTTTATTAAAAAATTTAGTTAAAAATGTATCAAGAGAACTTAATGTATCAAAGAATTGTTTTTGCAAAATGACTGAAAAGCATATATGTCTGAGATGGCTCATGTAGAACTTCTATGTTATTACAGTAGAACCTCGATTATCCGGACCTCGGTTATACGGATTCGCGATTATCCGGACATAATCGCGTCGGAACTTGCATATTCTGATGTGTATATATACATTAATACATTCTCTGTTTTGACGTGCATATATGCATTTTTAAAGGGTGGTATTATCCCTTAAAGATAAAATAAATATTATAGAATCATTAAAAAGGGCGAAACCGGCCGTAAGTTAGCTGATAGGTATGGTGTAGTGTAGATACATCTACTATAAGCGATATTAAAAAGAATGCCGCTTCAATTTTGTCGTACACTTGCAAGTTAGATAGTAAAGAGGGTAGTGAAAATCTTAGAAGAAGCTCTATATTGTTGGTTTTTACAAAAACGATCAACAAATTATTTGTAAGCAACTTTTCTTCTTCATTGATACTTTACGTACTACCTGATTATTTTAGCTCATGTTAATATAATATGTATAATGTAATCTAAGAAAATACTCGTATGTAAGTGTTAATTTTCTAATAAACATCGATTTTTGTTGATATCTATGTATGCATTTGTTATTTTTAATAAACAAAACATTATTCTTCATAATTTGGATTATCCGGATTTTCGATTATCCGGATGCCTATCGACAAAAATTAGTCCGGATAATCGAGGTTTTACTGTATAAGTAACGTATAGAATTTGAACTAAAACAATTTCCTTTTTAATTATTATAAGTTTAGTTAATTGCAAATATGTAAGCAAAATATTATAAGAAGTAATACAATTAGAAAGTGAAGTTTTGTGAAAATTTTGGTTTTTGCGAAATTCTCAGTAAATGAATTTAATTATTTACTTTAGTTTTTCTTTAATTATCCAATATTTTTAAAAGGCTATTGATCCAAATGTCAACGTCTAGTCAGACGGAGAAACGAACGGATATCACAACGATAGAGTTCCGGTTGAATTCAATATGGGTACATATGCCAAGATTAAAAAAAATGAATTGATGGTATACAATCTATCGTTGAATTTCAGAGTCAGGAATTGATAATGTTATGCATATTTTTGATACAGAAAAAACTCTACATATGAACGGCATCGGACATGAGTGGGGGCTACGCATGTCTACATTGAATGAAATAGTAATAGCCGTATAAGTGCAAATATATTAGAATTTTGAAGAGAGAAAGAAGAAGTGAAATGATCTAGTTGAACGTATATATGTTGTGTTACAATTAAGTTTTACATCAGTGTTGATCAGTAATCCAAACATCGACGGACTTATTAATATAAATTCATATAATTTCTTTGAAATTATTAATTAATCTATCCTCTGCAGAAGGATAAAATTTTAAAAATAATTCACAATGGCAATGTGTTTAAAGCTAGTATGTGTTCTTATTGTGAGTGTTTTGGCACAGTGTTACGCGGATAAGTGCAATGGAAGCTCGTGTCAGCATGGAGCGCGGGTCGTACGGGAAGCTTTGGAGCAGTATGGTCCCGCAGGAAGCGCTGACGTTATGAATTTGGTCGATGGAATTGAAGTTGTCGAGGTTGTGCCACTAGGTGAAGCAAGGGCCAACGGCGGCGGATCACCATCGCCAAACGAGCCCTTGCTGAGCCGACTGGCCAGATTCCTCGAATCACACGAACTCAAGATTAAATTAAATAACTTAATGCCTGGATCCCAAGTTAGAGAATTCTTAACCGAAACTTACAAGGATATCGAACAAGACAAAACTCTCGGAGGTGAGATAATCGTGTAAATTGGTTAGCACAAATGGATTAATGCGTGCAATTATGAATTTTTGTACATGTGTATTATATAGGTGGATTCATAATTTCTATTACCTATATGAATACATTCATTTTAATAAATAAATTTATTTATAATATTATATGTCAATAATATAATTCAACTCAACGCTAAATTAAAAGAAAACGTATGTCTCAAAAAATTAAATCATAATCAAGTTCTATATAATTTAAATCGTTTTTTGTTATGTTTGAAAATATAAAAAAATAGTTTTGATAACATTATAAATAACTAGAAAACAAGCAAAAAATTTAAATTAAATGTGAAAGCTGTTTAATTCCATTAATTTGATAGCCTTTAAAAAAATGTTTCAGCTAAATATGCTTGATGCACTTAAATTTGATACAAAATAGACATATAAGTTTACTTTGCATTTATGTAATTTATCGTAAAAAAATATTTTGTGTTGTTTATTCAATAACGAGTAATTTTATATCTGAACTAGAAACATTGAGCTAATATTCGTAATTCCCTTATATAATTAATTTGACATCCTCCTACAGAGGCACGTAAGAAGGAAAAAGGAGGCAGCGGCATCATCCTGATGATGGCTTTGATGATGGCAAAGATGAAGGCTATCCTTGGTTTCGGTGGTATCGCTGCAATTGCCCTAAAAGCCCTCGGTGTTGCCATGATGGCTTTGATGATTTCAGCAATAATCGGTGTCAAAAAGCTATCCGAGCACAGCCACGATGACGGCGGCCACCACGTGAGCTACGTATCCATCCCGCACCACGACGAACATCACAGAAGACGGCGAGATGCCGAGGCCGACGCAAATGCATTTGCATACCGCGCGTGGCGTCAACAGTACGAACCCAAGACCGCTCACTATGCATCATGATGATCGAATATTTCGATCCCGGCGACGAAATATGCGATTGATCCCGATAACGGGCTAGTAGTAACACATTAATTTATTCAACTATTTATATCTTCGATTTAATGCTGAACGTTGTGACGCGATTGTTTATAAAAGCCCCACATTACGGGCGATGTACATAATTTATTGTATTTATGAAGTATTGAGTTAAATATTTTATAAATTTATTTATTGTTATAATATATTATGAAATAAAGTCAAATATACAAAACTTTGGTAACTTACTTTCACCCACAATTGGAAGAGGAAAATATCCGGTTCTTTGAACTTAGGAATCAAATATCTTCTCTTCTAACAGCGAAGTTTTCAGTTCTTACAGCAAAATTTATGAAGTTCATATCAAACACAATGATGAAGTTCTGGCTGAATATGATTGCAAATTCGTTGGAAAAAAATAATAATATCATTGTCATAAAGCTCGTAAAACGTTAACTAATTCTCTAATATAACTTGATTTCTCACATTATATCAATTACTCGATTTTAGATGTCTTCTTTATTTAATAAATCATATAGCTATAAATCATAAATCAATATTTTTGTTTGATTTTTACACATTTGTTACCATATCCTGCAATCTAAGTACCATTTAATGAACCAAGAGCTACTGAACCTTTTGAATAACGGTGTTTGTGTCAATAATTGTCCTCAATAACTGTGAGGCTAAAAATTATTGTTTATGGTTCTTAGAGTGCTAACAAGTAAGTACAAGAACTATCGTTTGGCAGGTTTCAGCCCTGCACATCATAGTCGCCCACAAGTTTGAAAATGCATAAAAAACGAAAATTATACTTTTTCCTGTGAGCTTCAAATTTTTATACGATTCAATTTACTCATTGAGAAGTTCAAAAACCAAAATATCAGGCGATTTCAACCTGCACAAGTACCCGCCAGATGTTTGCATTTTCAAACTCCTGCGCGTCCACGATGTGCAGGATTGAAACCTGCCAGACGATGGTTTTCGTGCTTAGGACGCTAAGTACAGAAGTCCATTTTTTCTAAAATCTCAATATTCTCAAAAATCATTTTTTCTCTATTATTTCAAACAAATTTAAAGTTTTTCAAAATTTTAAATTACGGTACCAAAAGTTCAAGCAATTTGCCTTAAGGCACGGTGTCATGCACCACTAGTTATTTTTGATTTATAATAATATACCTATATGTTGCGCTATTGTGGGTAAAATTAATCGTTCATTTGTAAAAATTGCTCAGCGATACACTTTGCTCGAAATTTCCAGTTTTTGGATAAACACGCTAATTGGCTACTGTCAGTGCTTTCTAGAATAATGATGTATAAAAGAAATTAATCCAAGTGGACTTATTCTTGAACATTTCTAAATGGCTTCAAAAACATTATAAACATATATACCGTGTATACGAAGAAAAGATTATTATATAGAACAAAGTTATTTACAATTATTATATCTATATATTTTATAAAATAAAATCATCAGTGTGGACTTATTCTGGAACATTTCTAAATAGCTTCAAAGGTTTACTAACATTATTCCGTATACAAAGTACAGAGTTATTTGTAATTAATATATCTATTTATTAATGTAATTGAGCTCAGATTCAAACTGTGATGCAATGGAATTTGTTCAAGTTGCAAGAAAAGCAAAACAAACAGCGTTACATTTACACAAATAAGCAGTAGGTAATTCAAAGTATTAAGGACAAATAGACAAGAAATAACATTATTACGGTGTATCAGCTTCAATCAAGATTACTATTTTATTATAAAATTGTTATAAGTTTAACAATTAGCAGAATAAAATATTACTAGAAAACTTAGGCCATTAAAATGATTGACACACAATTTTTAATAAGTTCACCAATTAGATGTAGATATTAGAAGATAGAGAAACCTATAATTCACAAATTTATATTCTGAAGAATCGACCTGATTACTATTTAGTAAAGATCGGTGAGGCTATTTCTTCATAATTAGTTGTTAAACTTTTGAAAACCACTTTGGAATTTTTAAAAATGTTTGATACGTTTCTTTTACTAACGGGTGGTCCATCTAGTGGTCCTAGTGATTTAGTGATCTTACGGTTTAGATATTTTTGTAAAAAAATCATATAAAGTATTATATATCGTTAGAAAGGTCTCAAAATTCTTAGTTTTTTTCCCATATATCGCAACTTCGAATTCCGCACGGTGTGGCCTACAGGCAAGTTGCTATAGTTAAATTCCAATTTTTAAAAGGGCCACCCTATAGTTCGAGTCCGTTCAGTAGCGATGTTTATTTTTACTTTGAAATATATTAAAACTATTTTGCCATTTGAAAATGAGCCCGTCACGAACACTGCGGTGTGAAAGAGCAATGAGAAACCTCTCGCACTATTCTTTCCTGAACTGAGTAGAATTTTAACTCCGCTCACGGGCCTGTCCTAAGGCAGTACTACCCATTATAAGTATTATTATTATTATATATATATATATATATATATATATATATATACAGGGTGTCACAAACCTTGACGTCAAGCCATAGTATTGACCTCACATGTTCTGAAAAAAAATTAGAAAAAAAATCTCACTTTGTTTGAAAATTATGAGCCCTAAGTGCAACCTAAGGCTTTGATGAAATCACCATTTTTTGGTTTTTGTAGTTAATGTTTAATAATTTTGTGCATTTGAACTTTAAAACCACTATTAGCAGGCACTTTATCGACTGCAAAAACATGAGAAAAATATCCTCAAAATAAACTATTCAAAGCGCAAAACACCTTTGAACTGCGACAACTTCTACTGTGACAATTTTTTGTTTTTTTTTTCAATGTGCTCTGAGCTGTTCGGCTGAAACTTCTCCTTACTTCGTATTTTTAAAAGGTAACCCAATGGTTAATCCATCCATATTTGATAATTTTTGTTATTAGAATTAATCTAATGGGGCTGACTTTTTATTGGTGCAGCAATGCCGGGCAAGGGCTATTTTCACTTGGAAACATATTGCTATCTATATTTCCAAGTGAAAATCGTTGTCACTGCTGCCTGACAACAGGCTGCTCGAAGTGGGTATCGAACCCGGGACCTCTGAAACAAGTCCCGTCGCTCTTAACCGCTTACCCATGGGCGAGCCCAACTGTGACAATGAATTATAACTTTCTTCATATTATACAGTCGCGTAAACGTTAATAAAACAATGTTTAAATAAGGCCACTGTGTTTTTGTTCATATATGCCTTACACTATAAATAGTATTAAACACTAAATTAGGCAAAGCGCTAATATTGATTTAAAAATTATTTCCTACAATCTAACATTTTTCTATCTATATTCTAACCATTCAAATAGTTAAAATTTTCAAAAGATTCTTATAACTGAAATGGTTCTTCGGGTGAATCTTACAGATATTAAAAAACGAACTTATTGGCATGGAAACTACAATTTGCAGTTAGTGAAAACATGTAATCATCAAACTACAAAAATATATGTATTTTCAACAAAAATAAATGTAAATTTGTTATAGATATTTTTATACTTTTTGCATCGTACCTCTAAAATTAGTGAGCGAAAATTGAATTAAAATCGGTTCAGCCATATTCGTGCCATGGACATACATCCAGGCATAACACATTATTGAAACGTGAATATTCAAAAACAAAACATTTTTTAATTTGTTTGCAATTTTAATAACTTAAACTGCCAACGGAATATTAACCCTTACCGGTCTCCCTGAGAGATCACATAAATCTGTTCGTGCGCGACACCCAGCTGTTTGTATGCATTCAAACTCAGTTTGCATTCAAAATTTCAAACTGTTAAATAGAAAGATCAAGGATGGGTAAACCGTGCCCGTGGGTTTCATGCGGCCTTTTAAATATTTTTCTGCTGCCCTTCAAGCATTTCTATAGTAGTATTTTTTTTTAATGTATTTTTTTCTTGTTTCATAAATTTATGACATATTTACTTTTTTTAATTTAGTATTTTTATATTATGATGTTTATTAGTATATATCAAGTTTTGTAAATTATTAACTTAAATGCGACCCGAGAGTTGAAAAGGTGGTCATTCTTGAGAATTAATGTGTGCAATGAAAATAGTGTTCTCTTTTCAAAATTTACTAATAGTTATTTTCGAAGTATTTTCTAATCTTTTTTTTTAATGCGGTAAAATAACCGTACAATTCATAAAGCAAAATTTTCATAGAAAGCAGAGTCATATAAAAAACCAGGTGGGTACTACACTTTTCTGTGGAATGATATAAAACTGTGGAAGATGCTAAATAATTAACGACAGTGGGATCAATGCTCTATGCCTTCTTGAAATTTCTTTAAACTTTAACATACTGCAGAAAATAAATTTAGATATTATTGTAAATGTATGTTCAATGACCACCAAATTCATATCAAATAAGTTGGATAAGATAGACAATAATATCAAATTTACAGCAGGTACGTTTTTGTCAGAACGCCGCACCGAGTTGCTAGTAGGGTTTGTCGGTTTTCAAAAACCGGTTTTAAAAACCGGTTTTTTGACGAAATTTATGAAATTCGAAAACCGGTTTTTTTGTAAAAAATCTTATCAGTCTGCTATGGTTCCCAGAAAGGTTTTGTGTTTTATCTTTTGTCTAATGTATATATTAATTCTAATGTTTATACGAGTGTTTATATTATTTCCGATCAATGGACTTCTTGTTTCTTTATGTGTAGTTTATAAGTTCAGTATTCAGTGTTCAGTGCCATTGATCGATATTTGATATAGATAAAATAAAAAATGTAAGTAGTTAACATATTTTATTATTATGAAAATATATATTATTATTTAAACTATTTATATTTTTGTAGTCTAAAATGTCAGACGTGTAGAATTATTTTAAAAAAGTAGACAAAGAAAAAACGCGTTGTATTTATTGCAATAAAATGCTTTCTTGCAAAGGATCAAGCACAATTTACATAATCATTTGAAAACAGTACACGATAAAAAAAAAGAAAAAAATTGTCGGATGCCGGCTCGACTTTACAAACATGTACACAACCACGTATTTTTAATTTTGTGAAAAAAACTTGTTTAGAAGAAATAGTGTCAAAGCTCGCTGCATTAGATGGACTATCAATTAATTGCATAACAAAAAGCTCATTTATAAGAGAGTCATTACAAAAACGGAATTATTGCTTACCACAGAATAATTCTAGGGTTATGGAACTTATTTACAACTTTTACGAATCTATAAAACATGAAACTATAAATGAAATAAACTGTATGAAAAATAAAAGACAAAAATTTTCTATAACTATAGATGAATGGACTAGTAAAGGAAATCGAAGATATTTAAATATTTTTAAAATCACAATTTTTTTCAAACAAAAAAATAATTAGAATTTTGAAAATTAATTAATTGAAACTACTGGAAATAGAAAATACTCGCGGCTTAGCTTAATTGTTTTTAAAACTAAAATTGATATTATCAAGGATGTATCTAATTTTTTAATTGAATAAATGTATTTTTTTTATTTTAAATTGATTCATTTTTTCGAAAATTCGAAATTTTCTTTCACTATCATAGAAATATTTACATTCTTATATGTGAAAATAATGCATAATTAACGGATAATTATTTTCAAAATTATTTAATCCACATAAACTATTATATAACTATTTTTGATTTACTAATTAAAATTAAAATAATTTTGTTTACTATCCATAAAATTTAACAATAAATAATTTCAATCAAATACTGCTTAAAATCGCACTAAATTTGTGGATAAATTTTTGTTATTAACAGAATATTCGAGCAAAAATTTATTTCCCATATAAAATTCGAAAACCGGTTAAAACCGGTTTTCTGGCAAAATTAAAATTCGAAAACCGGTTTTCTGAAATGTCGGTTTTTGTATAAACCCTAGTTGCTAGTAGATTGTTTTTAACTCGTTAACTTACAATAGCGAGCAGAGCCCGCTTACGATGGGTAGGCCAAACGTAAATATTACGGCCATCGTCCGGTACGGTGATTGAAATTATTACAAAATATTTATACGAAACTATAAAACACAAAATTATTTTTAATTTTGTGATAAACTGTACACTGTGTGAAAAAATAGTCACAAACCCTGCACCAGTTCGAACGACTTTAGTCCGACAATTTCGAATCTAAATCATAAGTTAAGGGGTTAAGGGGTTAAATCGGTGTCGGCCGGTAAGGGTTAAAAAGAAATATAATAAAATAAGCTAAATAAGGTATTTGAAGCATGTAAAACACCTTAACTTACAATGACGAGCAGAGCCCGCGTACAATGGCTAGACCAAACGTAAATATTGCGGCCATAGCCCACGTTCGATAATCAGGCCAGAAGAAAATATTACGGATTACGGACATGGGCCGATACGACAATCGCAAGTATTACAAAATATTTATACAAAACTATAAAACACAAAATTATTTTAATTTTTGGGGCTCGCCCGTTGTAAGCGGTTAAGAGCGACGGGACGGACTTGTTTCAGAGGTCCCGGGCTCGATACCCACTTCGAGCAGCCTATTGTCAGGCAGCAGTGACAACGATTTTCACTTGGAAATATAGATAGCAATATGTTTCCAAGTGAAAATAGCCCTCACCCAGCATTGCTGCACCAATAAAAAGTCAGCCCTATTAGATTAATTCTAAAAACAAAAATCATCAAATATGGATGGATTAACCATTGGGTTACCATCTACAAAAATACGAAGTAAGGAGAAGTTTCAGCCCAACAGCTCATAGGACGTAAGGTTCTGATTGCTGTTCAAAAAATAATAAAAATGAAAAAAAAAATTGTGATAAACTGTACACTGCGTAAGAAAATAGTCACGAATGCTATGCCAGCTTGAACAACTTTGGCCAATTTGGAATTAATTATTTGGAAATATTGATATTTTTTTCACACATATACCTATTTGTTTTATATGAAAAATTCGGTATTAATTGTATTACCTTGTGCTGTAATGCTTTATCATGGAACGTACTTAAGCGCATTTTCATTCCATGTCATCTCAAGTTATCATCAAATCCAAGTTATCATCAGATTTTTGGTGCTAAAAGAATAAAATTATTATTAACATTTACCTAACATAATAATGTATTATCAATCATTTTAATTCTAATATAATAATACATGAGTACTGACGCAATCGTTACTATCATACGCACCGAACAAAAACAAATCGAAAAATCTTTATTGAGTTTGATGCATTTTATTGTTTGCCAGCCAACACACTTTATTTTTAGAGTAAAGTACAAACACTATAACACCATTTTATGTTTATTTACGACTATCACCATTTAGTATTATCAAATGTGCGATAGAAAAAAACTGTAATTTTGACAACTGGCAGCTCACTCGCCTGCGACCGCCTGCGACCGCCTGCGACCGCCTGCGAATGTGCCTGTTGCAATACTAACAACTTGCAAGGCGCAAATGCTCTTCATGCTCATCCTAATTTATAAACTTAAACCTTATTTGTTCATCATATCTAATGAATTCTAATTTGAAAAATTATACATCAATTGCGTAACAATGTTTCAAACATATTTTGAAACGTATATGCCCTAATACATAATTTAACTAGTGGTTATGGCATCGTGACTTAAGGCAAATTGCTGGAACTTCCCGTACTGTGATGAAATATGCGAGGAATATTAAATGTTTTTAAATAAATTATTATAAATATTGTAACACTGTCTAATATTTATAAGAATTGTATAAACTGAGTTACAAAGTTGAAATCTGAATTATTTTCGATATACAAAAAAAAATTTTTTTTTGAAAAAAAAATTTGAAACAAAAATATTTTTTTTCCAAAAGCAATTATTTTGTTAAAACAAGCAGAAAATTCTTTGTATCATTCAAATCGGACGCTAAGTTCCCTCAAAAACTGCCATTTTTTGCACATATAGCTCTGTATTTCCGAAACGGCTGGACCAAAATCTAATCACCGCTTCTCCCCGTCATTACGAATTGAATGTTTTTTGGACCATTCAAATCGGATGCTCCATTCTCTCAAAAACTTAATATTCTATTTTCTGCACTCTTTGCTCCATATCTCCGAAACGGCTAAACCTGCCTTTACCAAAAACTAATCAGCACATCTCCTTATCAATAAAAATCGAATGTTTTTTGAACCATTCAAATCGGCTCTCAATGTTTTTGGTTTTAGATTATTGTAGGTACATGCAAGAACTGTTCACCACTGTTTTCAATTAATGGCATGCCATGGGTTCAGCGTGGTTTGCAGTTTTCTGATCACCTTAATATGTTTTTCTAATTTCAGCTTAAATATGTGTTGCCCATGTTCAAAGTCACTCAGAAGTTGACTGGTAATGTTCATGATTAAGTATATAACGAACATTAATTTGTTTAGAAGTGGAATTCTTTAAAAACTTAACTATAAACTAAACTACAAACTAATCCATATAAAGACTGAAATCAAGAATTATGATACTGTTAATGAATATATAGCATGTTTAAGCCTTTTCAAATGTATTACATATAAAATTAAAAATCCAGTATAAACTTTCAAAGTCAAGGAACTCTAAGCCAAGAGTTATGACACATATGTATTCAATGAATATAAAGCAACATTTTCAATTAATGCATATAAACCTAATATAAACATTCATTTATCACCCTCTTCTTTAATGATAGAAGTTTGTATATTTGCTAAAATGGTACATACATACATAATGTTATCAGCTAAAAATCTAAAAATAAGATCCTTCGGTATATGATGCAGTATTATAAAAACTCTCAATCTCTGTATAACTCGTTCAACATGTATACGCACATGAGTACGTTTTGATGATATCTTCTGGCAATAGTAATCCATTTTGGACAAAAGGGAGATGAACAAGAACAGCCATATTTCTTAATTTATCTAATTAGGTCCGAATAGGTGGAAATCCTGAATACGAAGCACAATTGGAAACTATATAAGTCTTTCTTTACTCATGAATTTACCGTTGTAAATATAGCATCTCCAGGTTCTTATTTATTTAATATTCCCGAAAGCATAGTAATTTGGGTGTCAGTTATTCAGCCCAAACCCACATCACCTACAAAGGAAATAAAGCCGGATGGCTTTATGAACACATGGCATTCTATTATTGTCTAGGAGTGCAACCAATCAGAACCTATAAATAAATAAGATTAATTGAAGTACTTTCAAAATATTATTTATATTGTAGCTACAAAAAAAGTTTTACACACCTTTACTGAATACATTCTTTTATAGTTTGAGTATGTGTAGGCTGCATGGTCAATACTATGTGGAGTATCAGTCTCAATCTCAAAACAATCAAGAATAACAGAATAACTCTGCATTTCGGATACAACTTCATTAATTGTTTCTTCAACGGTTTTGTCTAATCTTGTATTGATAGCCACATCCTTATCTATGGCTCATGGTATTCTAATGTTGTCTAGACTGATAGCTCTATGTGCTTACCTAACGAGTGTAAACGTCAAAAGTATCAACATAACCAAACAAATATTATTTCCTCAAGCTTCAATTACAAATGATACTTTTAGTTAGTACGCAATATTATTGATATAAAAAATGGATCGTGAAGGTAAATAATACATAATAATACCATATTTCTCCAACGTTGATCTTGTCTATGACCGTTTCAGAGATAAAAACATTTTTCGAAGACATATTAAAAACAGAAACCGATGTCTCTGCTGGAATGGCTGCAATTCGAACACTATTAAAAGTTCTGGAATGTTATAATAGTGAAACCGTACAGGAACTGCATGCTTCTCTACAATCTGCTGTTGAAATAATGAGGAGTACCGATCAACCAGTAACAGCAGTTGCTTCAGGCTGCGAACTATTCTTGAGGTTCATTACATTAGCTAAACTAGATCAGGAAACCTTTGCCGAATGCAAACAAGTCATGTTACATCGAGGAAAATTATTCTTAAAGAAACTAGTCGAAGCGAGAGGTATCATAGCAAAACTAGCTTCACAGTTTATAACCGATGGCTGTGCAGTTTTAACACACTCCAGATCAAGGGTTGTGCTCGAAACATTGAAAGAAGCAGCCAAAAGTAAACATTTTCATGTGTTTGTTACAAACTCAGCACCTGATAATAGCGGTGAAGTGATGTGTAAAAATTTAGAATGCGAAGGTATACAATGCACACTTATTTTGGATTCCGCTATTGGCTGTATTATGGAGCAAATCGATATAGTTATGGTTGGAGCCGAAGGTGTAGTGGAGAGTGGTGGAATTATTAATAAAGTTGGAAGTTATACTATGGCATTGTGTGCTAGGGAAATGAAGAAACCATTTTATGTACTTACTGAAAGCTTTAAATTTTCTAGATTATATCCGCTTAGCCAACAAGATGTGCCTGCAGAATTTAAATACACTACAACAACACGCATACAAAAGAATTTAAGTCATGAGCACCCTCTTGTAGATTATACACCACCAGCATATATATCATTGTTATTTACAGATTTAGGTATATTAACTCCATCAGCAGTTAGCGATGAATTAATTAAATTATATTTATAGTTTATCAATAAATATAGTAGAAAAAAATTGCAGCATTATTTTTGTATTTTATTCATCTTATCCATATTAGTAGTTACTATCCATATTATATTCTTCTTTTATCTATGTTACTATCATACTAATACCTTTTTTATAGATTGATATTGTTCAAGTCATTGAAGTTGAATAAAGTGATTTTTATTTATATCTCATTTGATAAAAACAATTATGCGAATGTACGTAATATGACTTTGCACTATATTCTAAAACTTCTTTAATACAATATAATGCAACATATTATTCATTATTGTTATAGATACCAACATTTAATTTAATATATATACATACATGAAGTAACATTTGTTTTTTTTTTTTGAAAAATAAAATAAAACTTATATATGGAACTACCATATTGTTAACTATAATATATTTTAGAAGCTAATTAATGTTGCAAATACAGAATTATAATAATTTCAATATGTAGTTTGGATATTTTAATATGCTCTATTTCAAAACTAAGCTTTGACTAGATTACACTCATTGAACATATTAAATAAAATAGTCTGTAAATATAGACCATTCTATTAATATGAAAAAAAGCATGAGAAGCATAAAATGTAAACTTTTCTTAAAATTAGGATACTCTGAACAAAAACAATAAAAATATTTGATAAAACGTTGAAGCACATCTTAATGCTTGTTTATTCAATGTTATTATATTATTAATGTTAAATAATGGCATACCTGGAAAAGCTATAGTGAACAATAATAAATGAAATTTTACATTGTTAATTAAATTAATTTGAACATCCTATTACATTAATAAAAAAATTAATAATTGCTTTGGTTTAAAACGTGGTGCATTAATCTCTTGAATGAGCCGCTTTGATGAATTTCTCCAGAATCATTCAAAGGCTGTAAGATAAAATAAAATATATAATCAAAAAAAGTATTTTGCAATCACTTATCATAAGCAATAAAGAAACATAACATAGAATTGATTTCAAATTCTTTACAAAAATTTGTTGTAAATAACAATGAATAACCATAGGTAAGTAGTCAATAAACTGATTATTTATTGGGAAAACATATAATATTCCCGAATTGTTTAAAAAACTGTAGATAATAAATGTTATTGTTGTCCTTAGACCTAATTATATAAACACAAACATGGATTTGAAAATGAAATCCTCACAATGTAAGTATATAAATGCATTTTGATGCTAATTATACTTTCTTCATTGATGCGCATTAACAGTAAAAAAAATTATTTGGTTTTATTTAGTTCCCATTCCTATAATTCTACAATAATTTACCAAATAATTGTATCTATTAAAGGCAACTTTTTAATCATATTAGATAATTTTATTTATATTTCTTCATTAATACTTACATATTGATTCTGCTGATAATGTGGTTGGCTTACTGGATTTGGTTTCTAAAAATAGATAATAGTGACATTCGTAATTATTACATATTTAAACATTTTAAAATAATAATGGTTAACATTTGCATTGGAAGGATAGTAAAAAATACATTTTCGTAATTTGTAATATAAAAAATATAGATTAGCCATAGATAAACAAGTATGAGATTAGCCTAGACCGAAATGTGAATATATCCTGCCCAAATACTAAGGGGATATACTTAATTGCCTATAGAATGAATCCTTTCAATTATTATGCTCGTATTTTTTGTGCATAAAATAACAAACCAGACTTTTTCCACTTCCAATCCGAATAAAATTTTTGCAAACCAATTGAAATTACATGCTTTTACTTGTTCTGAGAATACTAAAATTACACATTTACACGTTATTTTATAATTAGGTCAATACAAATTAGACAAAGTTGTATTTGTAGAAAACAAAACGTTTGTATTTGTTATAAAATAATTATTTTTTAAGATGTATCGATATTCTTTCGGTATTATTAACAAAACAGTAAATATGTATTAGAATTACCTTGAATTGTACAGTTTTGGTCGGTTGAAACACTTTTGTTTGGGCTGGAGTACTGACTTCTTGTATTTCACCACCGTATACTTCTTCCTGCAAAGCTCTAAAGGTCTCACTCTTGGCGGGATCGTAAACAACAGTCGGTTTATATCTACATAAAGAAAAATTATTAATATTAAATATTAATATAATGATTATTCAAGTAAAAAAACTCATTATCGTAATAATTTTTATAACCACTTGGGGTTAGTAGTATTTTTTTATGAATAACGGCCCAAGATAAATAATTGAGAAAAAAATAAAATAGCTGAAGCACTAATAATATAATTGTGCCATTCAAAAAGGGTTACAATATTTGGGTAATATTTTTGAAAATTATTTAACTCAATTTCAAATATTTAAAACTAAATATATTAACTCATTTCAAATATTTAAAATTCGAATATTTTATTTTTCAAAATAGTATTGTATGACTTGTATTGTTATTATTGTGTATTGATATTAATAAATACAGAAAATGGTATAACTTTTAGTTTGCTTGCCAATAAAACCATGATTATATTGATTATCATTATTCATTATTATCTATTATTACTATTTATAAAATTATAAAAGTAAATTTGATTGGAAATGATTATATATAAAATGTATGTTATAATGATATGTGGCAAACTTAATTCTAATCTTTAGGATGATAATTTACTGCAGAAGTAAATTGTGTAAAGTGGTAAAGCCCATGCGGAGAAAATTTAGAATAAATAATCAAGTAGAATACACCTTACCCCATTTTAGAATTTTCCGCACTCAACATAGGGTCTTTTGTGCTCACTTTCTTCACTCTTTTTCAGAACTGATTATCTTACTTTAATACAAGACTACTTTAAACTTTTAATACCTTAACAAGCGGACACTTTACTGGACCTTAATAAGACCTGCATTGTTGTACTGCTATTGCTCCAGCATGGAACACGACAACAAAGACTAACCGACGGAGGCTACAGACAGTACAAAACAAAGCTTCACGACTAGCACTCAACAAATCAAGAAACCCAACTGACGAGGCACTATTGCTCTACAAAATACCATACACGAACAGACTGACGTACCGACAGCTTTTGGACCAAATAAAGAAGCTCGCAAGGAACTTTTACCTCAATTGTAGGAATCACCCTAATACTAACCACCAGGCACTTGGTTACTATGCACAAGAAAAAGTTTGGTATGGCAAACGCGCCATGCCAAACTTGGAACATAATATCTCATTATGAACGAACAGATTGTTATGTAATTCTTATTTTTTCCAAAATATTATTATAATATCTAGTAACTCTTCTTTACATTTTTCTCTCTTTAACAGGTATATTTTTATTATGATGATTGAGATAAAATGCAATTGCGATATTTATAAGAGTGTAACACCCTTGTAGAAAACTCAAATGTATCACCTTATTTGGGGCACACCTAGTGAGAAAATTTCAAAAAATTGAATTTTGAATTTTTAAATATTTCGATAGGTTATAACTTTAAAAATAACATACTAAAATTTTAAATCGATATCATAAATAGTTTTTGAGTTACAGCCATTTAAAAGAGTATATATAGTATATAGTATAACGGAGATCATTAAACGCGTTTTTCTCGAAACAGCATTTTTCGAATTTGCTGGAGTGATTACTCGAAGACAAGTGATCCGATCGCTATCAAATTTTATTTTGCATCTCTTCTATATAGTTCTCCATACGACGACCCTCCAGTTTTTTGATCGTAACAAAAATTGAATTTTGGCAGGCCAAAAACGGCCAAAATTTTGGAAAAAACTTAACTTTTTTCAGGAGAAGGCTGCAATCACTCCAGCAGCCGAGGATCTTTTTTTTGGCGCCGCCGGAGATTGAGTGTTATTTCAAAAATATTTAATATTTTATTTCAAAATTTATACTGAGTATTCTCAAAACATGTAAAATATACCCTCAAAATTTTAAATAGATGAATTCACTAGTTTTTTTTAATTCCCATAAATAACCTTTTATAGGTTGTCACACAAAGCGTGCCCCTTAATTTAAATAAATGTTTTCAAATCTAAAAAAAATCTAATCTAATAACTTTTACACTTGTATGTAATATTCACATTATATAATGAAATATATGTTTTTCAATTGAATTGAAAAAAATAATAATTAGTTTAATATTCGCTTTTTACAATTTTTATAGTTTTAGTGAAAACATGTTTGTCATTTTGTTGAAAACATATTTGAAATCTCGATCTCATTCATTTATTAAATTTTTTCTGGTTTACCTTTTCCGAATATAAGAAAATTTCGTGATACAGTTGGTGGCGCCCCTATTGAGTGCGGAAAAAAATAAAATTGAGGTATTGGCAAATGTGCTGTGTTTTCGATTTATTAAGCCTTGCTAAAAAATTAAACGATAATAAAATAATTACATACTAAATTGATTACTTACGGTAGGCTTGTTGTATGACGAATCGCTTCGGCGACGTTAGCATCGGAATAGAGGCCAATTGGAGAATTGAATTGTTTATGCACAACCTAAAATATTTAATATTATTAATACTAATCACTGGATGTTATAAATTAGTTATAAAATAAAAACAAAACAATTAATTAATAATGTATCAAATAAAATTAAAACTTTTTTTTTTATTAACTCTTTTATTTACAACTGTCCAGTAAAGGACATTTAGTAAATTTAATGAATTTACAATAGTCCGCCGAGAAGGGGCATTGTATACTACATTGTCATGTTGGAAAAAACAACTCAGTAGTTGTTTTTTCCTTTCTATTTTCTTTTTCCTTTCTATAAAATTCACAATATTTGAAAATTAAAACTTGAAAAGCTAAAATTAACTTAGATGTTAAGAATCCTGATATCTTAAAATATACCAGATTCCTGTATAAATTTAAATATATGTTGCTCTAAGATTATTTACAAAATTTTATTTCACATTCTGTTTAAAAAAAATGTACATCTTGAGAAATTGAGAAAAGAACGACTAGGCGTATTAAAACATTCAATCTTTTCGCTAATGCTAAAACTACTGCTATTTCATTCTATATTCCTTTAATGATGTTGAATTCTTAATATATTATCTACATTATCAATAAATTAAATAAGATGTAAAAATGAAAAAATATTTAATTAATAAACTACCTTGTTTGCTATGCTATCACCAGCCACTCTGTGTAATACTGAATCGGCAACCTGTGAATAAAAAAAAACAGTTTAATCGTCTTTGATATTGTTTATTGTTTTATTAAAAAATATATATAACACTATCACAAAAGAATTATTTTTGTACAGGTCTAACAACATATCGATGACCATTGAACAACAAACACAATAAAATTAATTAATAGCTTAAAATTTTATTATTGACGTATTCTTGGACTACGGCCTTATATAATTAATTTTTTTATATTATGAAATTATTAAGATTAACATTAGGATGTTTATGATAATTTGAGATTAACATTAAAATGTTTATGATAAATAAACCTAATCACATATATTGCTCAAAATTTTAGAAGGGGGAAATAGTTAGGAGCAATGTATTGGAACAAAACAACACTTATAATTAGAGCAAAAATTCGTCAAATATAACAGATTTTGTTATTCAATTAGATATAGTAAGCAACTTTATGTTATTTCAAAAAAAGAAAACTTACAATATGAAATAATTTTGAAACCCATATGTAAGAATAATAAATTAAAACCTCAATCATGAAATTATTGGACAAATATATAATAGATTTATTTGAGTCTTTGAAGCAATTCTTCTTTATCAATCCGTTATTAGTTGAATATTTGTTATATTCGATGTATTATGAAATGTAAAATTTATATTGCAACTAATATGTAGATAAACAATATGTTTCACTTTCGATATTATACAATTACATAATGCAATATTAGACAAACAGAAGAAAGCATTGTCGAGTGAAAGTCAAACTTGTTCACAAAGGATTTCTCACTATATCGCAATTTGAGTTGAACGTTTCAAGTTATAATTGGAACCAGAATATAATTTGTCAACGTAAATTTTTACACGGATGTTCATGATTGTATATAGTATTACAAGTAACCATTAATTTGCAACTTTCATTAATTAAATATAAATTACAGTTCACAAATTTACTTACACATATTTATAGTATAGTTCATGTTTTTACTTTTACTTATGAGGGCGTCTATTAATCAAGTGAGGTTTTTAGGGGGAAGAGGGGTTTAATAAAAAATCTCGAAATATCACGTGGGGAAGGGAGGGGTGTAGTAAGATATCACGTATATTTATTTTTTAACTGATCTTTTTAAAAAAATTCAAACAATTTCAAGAAAAATCGAGAGAATTTAGGAGAAGCAACAGAAAACTTCTTTTCTCATTTGTAACAACATTTAAATGTGAAGGATTCAACATAACTGATCAAATAATTGCTATATATACATGTATATATATATATATATATATATATATACTAGATGACCCGACAGACGTTGTCCTGTACCCAAGTCTAAAATTCAAAAGTTCAATTTTTTTAAAATATTTTATCATATACTTTTTAATATCCTATTTGATGTCAAGCCGTTGTGATTCATTTATGTTCTTATTATAAGCAGTATAAGAAATTCAGAAAAAATAGTATCTGCGGTTAAAGAACAATATCACACTTGATTTTACCACACAACATAATTGCTTCAATAATTTAGTCTATAATTTTCATAATCTCGTATGATATATTGGTTGCTTTTTGGCAATTACAATTTCTAAAGTACATTTTTCTTACTAATAATTTAACAAACATTATTGTTCAAGTTCAAATCTTAGGTGAATACGTTTGTAAAATCTAGTTCTTATGAGCACTCTCCGATCTAAGATCAACTTGCTAAATATTCCATATCTAATGCCATACAAATGAATTTTTGACACATCAAACAAACTATGAACATGAAAATAGTTTAGTAAAGTAAACCAAAATGCGACATGCATAAGCTTAAAAAATAATGTATATGCAATTTTGGACATATTGCGTTATTTATTAATCTGAATTATATAATTTCATCTTCCAACATATACTGTTGACTGTATCTTATGTTATTTTAATTTCTGGCACATTTCAGCTGCTTTTCGGCAATAATAATGTAGATATTACATTTTTCTTGTATATAATATTCTAATATTATCTAGGCTCATAATTTCAGCTAAATTCAAATTTCAAATGAATTGACATTTCTAGTAGATGGCAGTTTAAATGTTTTCAATGTCAAACAATGATAAGTGTTTTTTAGTAATTTTTGCAATTATTTCTAGAATATTACTAGCTTTATCGTTTATTAAATCTTAAAAATTTCCTTTGACAAACTCTAAAAAGAATGATCAAAATCCGAATAACCGTTTAGGAGAATTATCAAATTATACAACACCAGAGTGTATGTTTATCGGTTGTAAGATCCAGCTGATACTTTAAATTAAACATTTTAAATTTTGCAATGTATATAGCTATATATCTTTTGAAATAAATTATATCTTACAAGAACAATACACCATGTAATTCAAATACGAGATAATTCTACTATTTGGAACGCTGAATTCTAGATATTGGCACAACGGTGCAACGCTTCTTGACATGTTTCCAAATAGAAGAATCCAATCCATGATATTTTAATGCACGTGAGACACGTGTAGTTGTACCAATGTATCGAATTTCATTTGTTTTTTTTTTTTTTAATTTGCACCACAAAATTGTTCAAAATGGTACAAATGTAAATTTGTTATAGTCGCTCATTTGTCTGTCTATCGGTCAATCAGGACTGTTTTCTTCCTAGCAGAATTGCAAATATTAATCGAAAATTTGCGGTTCTTTAGAAGCAAAATTCAAATATGGAACTAAAGTTTCAAAAAAGCTTTGTTTTGGCAGATTTGTGTAGGTGTCTGTCAGTGATTTTATGAGTGAATACCTTTGTCTACAAATTCTTGTATATTTCTTGGCAACGATAAACACCATGTCAACAAAATATTTTCATGTCATTTTAATAAATTATAGTACTAAATTATTAAATAAAATAAATCTATAAGTCAACTTTTCATGCTAAACGCGTAATTGCTTTAAATAGTTTTGAACTAAAGATTGGTTTGCAAAAATCTCAACATGAATATAATAATTTCAGACAATTTTTTTAAGAACTAATTTTACTAAAAATAAAAATTATAGCATTTAGAAAATTATGAGGTCACAAAACGTCAATTAAGACCGTAGTCTGAGAACTTTGTAATGGGCTACAGTACGATGTTATATTTACCGTTTTGTAATATAGAGTTAATATTATTATTTATTTTTATTAATAGTTATATTATATATTTAATAACCATTATAACTCTAAACTATTTTATTATAAAAGTTTCTTAAAATGTGCTCGACAACATAAAATATTTTTGTGTACATATTAGTTCGTGGAATATGATGTTGCAATAGGATGGTTTTAGCTCGGAAACGTTTGCTGCAAAAACATTGGGTTTTACGTACGAAATGTAATATTTTCCTTGATTTCACGAAGCCATCATCTTAAATAGGAATCACAAATATTTATCATTTCACTGTGGCAATCACATAATCCAGAAATGTAGGTCTATGGATTAAGGATTAATGAGTAGATTTTCATCTCGGAATCTCACTCCGATTTATTGGCAACTGCGATTGTGCTAACAATAGACAACTTACTTGGACTTACGTACAATTGTGTGCATAAAATGGAACATTCTTTAACATTTAGAGCATATTGTGTTTAGTATGCAAACCATGCCATTATTTAAAAAAAATAGTATAAATTAATTTTTGGTAAAACGTTTTTTAAAAAATATATTGCAAATTATTCAAACTTATAATGACTGGTAACAAAATTTTAACTGATAAAGGTAATATTAAATATAATCATAATTATTTTATTGTATCAACATGAATGTGAAAAAATAGTAGAGGCGACTGGGTACGGTTGTGCCAGATTTTATGATAGTGAAAGTAGTCGTAACAGCTAGACTATACTGATTTTGAGATAGGGTCCAAAGGAAGAAAGATGAAGTATGTTTGCTCAAACAAGTTTCCATTATTGCATTGAGTCAGCGCCCTATATTAATATGATCTGTAGACCACTTTGCTTTTAAATAGCTAAATCCAAGTTTTTTTGTTAGATTTCTTTTAATAAAAACTATTACTTGTATATAGATCAAAGATCACTTTGTTTGTTATTTTACTGTAAATTGAACATTAGTAATTAATTATCAATAACTAGTTTTGTTTTATGCGGCATGTATTTGTTGTGACATGTATTTCTTGTCCTTTTTGCGCGCAATTTAAACAGATAAAAAATGTAACTTAACTTAGACAAAATACCATGGAGAAAGAGAAGAGAAAATTCAATACAAGGAAACAAAAGATTTCACAAACATTTCTTGTTTAAAAAAATTGGTTTTGTCTTATATTGTTATACTATATTCATAAGCTATGTTTAAATGATAAAGTTGTGTTGCGTTACATATTTCTGACAAAAGAAGTCGTTATAAATCATTTTAGTGTTTAAACCTATTGTTGCTTACCCTATTTTTATGACTGTCACAACCGTCCTTCGGGTGTGGACGATTGTGTCACTCGCCCTTTTCTTGTATGATTTTATTTTATGACTAATCTATTGTATTTGTAGACATTATTTAAGTATTTCCTCATAGACATATATGTAAATTACCATTTAATTTACTTTTCTCCCAGTTAACAGCTAAATTAACAAAATATTGCTGATCAAAAAAAGTGACACAACCGTACCCAGTCTTCTCTACAATAATTTCGATGAAATTTGAGCAAGGGCATTCCATCCAGTATATACAAAAAATACACAAAATATATCAAACATGTCAATATTAATAATATATTAAATAAAAGGTGAAGTCCAAATATATAACTTAAATTCAAATTTTTCTTGAAACTGCGATCCAATCACAAAAACTTTGAATTACTGAAGTCCCTTTAAAGATATCAGGTTAGGCACCTGATATTTTATTAATCAATACTTTCTTAGTATTGATGGAACTTCCAGCATCCAGAGCATCCAGAAATGAACCAATATGATGCACCACTTAATAAAGTATTTTATACTTTTGGTTTCTTTCCCTTATTAATAAATAATAAACAATTTGCCCACCTTTTGCTTCATTAAAACTTCATGATTTAATGTTGACTGAACGGGAGCCCTCATGGCCGGATTCGGGTGGTGGCGCAGATAGCAATCATTAGCATTTGAGTCGCGCTTCACCTTTGCACCTGGTAGCACCAACGGGGTCGTTCTGTATGGCTAAAAATAATTAAACAACATTGTTATTGATGGCCCCATACAAGTTATATGAAATAAAAAATAATTGTTTTTATTTTCTTTCACCATATAATTAACAACCGTTCTAAGTGGCAAATATAATAAATAAAGTGAGGCGATGCGCAAAGGCTTAATTTGACTTTGAGCAATTATATTGTGAAAATCAAACCAACCATATCACAACAAATAACTGACTATTTTCAGTAAAACTCCTAGCTACATTACAGATATGCATTTTTTTTGCTGTTTTTCTAGAATTTGTCGCTAGTCTTTTTTACCCCACAAGCAGTATGTCCTTTTTTAAAAGAAATTTTACGAAATAACAGCTACATTATTCAACTAATGCAAAATATAAATTTCACGGGTACATTTTTACAGAGATATTACTCTATATAACCTTGATGTAGCATTTTCTCAAAAAAATCATCAGCAAAGTTGGAATAAATATTTATTTAACTTATCTCTTGTAAAATTGCTTCTTTTGCCTTGTTTATTTACTATTTTTTATTGTTTACACCTTTGCCAGGGTAAAAATTCAGTCGGTCTGTTTTACCCTACCCACGCATGAGTTTTTATAAAATTAATTTTTATATAACTTTGCTCTGATATTTCATCAAAGATTTTGAATAAATACTTATTTAAATTACTCTTGTAAAATTGCTCTTTTAACTTAATTTACTATTTTTCATTGTTTACACTTTTATATAAAGTTAAAGTTCAGTTGGTCCTTAAGGTTATATAAAAAACGGTTGAATTTACCTTAAAACTAACAATACATCTTAGAAAACGTATTAAATAAAAATTATATTAAGGTCTCGTAAACTAAACAATGCTCACAAACGAAAAAATCTAACAACGAAAAAAAAACTTTTGCTATGGATTTTCAAACATCGGCGTCGTAAGAATCAAGGTGATGGCTGGTTGTAAATATTTTTTCCTCTACTTTCAAATATTGTTATTAAAAATTCACTTGTTTTTTAAGATATCGATGGTGCAGCTTAGATAATAAATATATTTCATGTAATAAAATAGACAAATGACAATAAGTGTTAATAAAGTGCAAGTTTCAATCATAAAAATTAAAAGAAATGAAATGGAATTGTGTTTTTTGTGCTTGACAAATTTACAGTCAAAAGACCTAGTACAAGGGTATAGGATGTCTTCTATTTATTTTAATATATGTTAATAGATACTATTATAATTTAACATGTTTTCTACTCAGCACATTGACTTTTTGCGCACCTTATTCATGGAACATAATATTTCATAAAGCATATATTAACAGATAGAACCATGAAATTCTAATTTTTATTCGGTGTACATGCAATTATAATTCCATAACTACCAAAAAATTTCATATTATATTTATACATACATACACATTATATACATTATACATATTATATATACATATGTGTACTTGTGTTTGCATATATTATAAATAAAAATAATGTGTAACCCCACTAATCCATAATTTATATCGAAGATAATAACACATTCCATGTCTCATAATATAAATTCTTTAAGCATATTTTATGCCTCTATAATCTGTTAATGCATATATTCACACTTCATATATTTTATAACCTTCACAACCTTGGATTACTTTAAATATTATGTCTGGTTGCAGAACTATTTACAGAAAAACAAAAACTTCTCCTTCAGGAAATCATGTATTTATAAAATAAATAATCTGAATGAACGGAATTGCCAAACGTTTTTACATTTTATCTCGGTTGTTAACTTTATTAATTAACGAAGATCTCCTGATCATACTTTAGAAAAAATGAATATATGTGTATGTTGTGACTTTTTTTCCAAATTTATTTAAAAATTTATGACGGCTTATGCTTTGTTTTAAAATTTCCTATTTCTCAAATATTTTTAAATCGTATTAATTTACATCAACTTGCTGATTTATTTCATTTATTTGATAATTTCTAAAGTTCTCATACATTTTGTTACCCACTTACTCTTAAATAGATAATAACACCAAATTTTCTTATAATATTTGTTTTTGTTCTTCGAAATGGTGATAGTTGTTACTGGTCTTTCGAATCCATGCTAAATCAGATTACACCCTTCCAGGAGGTCCCATAATTAGTTAGTCTAATTTCTAATAGTTATCTTTCCAAGTTGACTACAAAATTGGCCATGCTTTTTGGAATTATCTAATACGATCGAAATTATTTTCAACATAGTATTTTATATCTTTTTATTTCGAGGGTAACTCTAGGCTTTTTTTTAAATTATAATAGCCGCCTAGCAATCCTTTTTCAAATTTGTTGAAATTGTATCAAAACATTTTGATGCCTTAATTTTTTATTATTTACATTATAAGCCATTATATGTAAAAAATAAGTAGATATTTGTGAATCGTATGTATGAAAAGAATGATAATCCAAATAAATCTTACAATTTTTGAGTATGCTATATACGGTAAACAACAAAATCTTTAATATTTCACATAGGTTAAATGATGGAAATCATCATACATAAAATTTATGAATTGTTAGAAAAATAAATATTAGTTTGTTTTCATATATTTAGGAAGACATACTAAAATATAATTCATACTCTATTTTATAAAAATACTAACATTTGCTGAAAAACAAATCTGTTGCAGGACTATCAATTTTGGTTATATAAATAATACAATTCAAATAATAACATTAATGAAATGCCAACAAAATCTCAAGTTAAAGCCAATTTATAAATTATTTTGAAACAAATAGCTAATTTTCCAGTTAGATAATAGTCAATGATTTACATTTATTGATGGCTATACGGATTTCAGTTCCATAAATAAAGCGAAATTTTAAAATAAATACGCTCGACGTCTACTATATAATGGAAATTAAGTAAGAGTCGAACGATATAAAATATGCATGTGTTTACTTTAATAACTATTAATAGCTCGTTATGTATAACTATAAATATTGGACTTATTGTTTCAATTTATACATGATTAATTATATCATTCTAAAACTCAAAACAATAATCGATTGGGCGTTGTTGCTGGCACTGTAATAAGATGGTGGATTGTAAGATTTAGTTTAATAATTTGTGATCAATGTTTTTTGTTTCAATTTATTGCAATAACAATAGTCTGCTGCAAATAGTTCTGTTAGGTCACTAAAAAGATCGGAAAATCTGGGTAGAAGTATATATACTATAGTAATTATAATTACTTCATGAAAAATGTTTAATAAACAAATAGTGAAGTAATTACTCATTAAGCTTATTATAGACTGGTAAATTGGTATACTACAAAAATTATATTTGATATCAATATCAAATGAAATATAATTATAATAAAATTTACAGAAATATTAATAAACCATTTTTCATGTTGATTATAATAACGATCAATAAGATAATAAATAGTCAATCACAAAACTGTGTATCGCATTCAGTCAATAATTTCAAATATCAAATGTGTAAGTTTAAGACAACGAAACAGCTTTGTTTGTATTATAATTATATGATTATAATTTTTTTTGTTATGGCTTTATTGATTTATATAGAGGATAATTCAATGCACTAAATAAATATTAGATTATTTATAATTTAAAAATAAGCCATAATTAAATTTATATAGGTATAAGTTTTTAAATGTTTTTCCATATTATATATATATATATATATATATATATATATATATATATATACTCAGCAGTAAAAGTACATCGACCCGATCCAAACAACTTTTTTTGTGGACCTGTGTTAATTTCAACCATGAAATTCATAAAAAATACCACCTATCAAAACTGAGTAAAACATATCAAAGCTGCATACGTGTTGCTACTTTCCATATTAAAAAAATAAAATAAATAACAAAATTTAAAAAAAACGGCTGATATTGATCAGCTTATATAAAAAAGCAATTCCAAATTTCTTAAGTTTTCAAGTAAATTAGTTTTTCTGTTTAACTATTATTTGTTTTTATTTTGTATTTTTATTTATAAACACTTATAGTATACACTCGTATGTATATAAAATATATACTTTTTTCAATTTTGTATTTTTGTTCTTATCTTGTGGCAATTTTGTAATTCTGTTGCAGTTACATTATTCCCGCACTCAGTCAATAAATCTTTTGACCTAATTTTAGTTCAGACTTTTGAAAAAGCTTCAATTTTATTCAAAAAGAAAAATCAATTTATATTTATCATGGGTTGTACGACCGTAACAATTTTTTTAATTTTGTTCTTTATCTTTTCTTGCGGAATGGAAAACTACATACAACTTCAAATTTTCATTATTTTATAGTCATTTTAGTAGTCCAATCATTTTTTATTTAGCTCGGTAATCGATCAATTAACTATTATCGTCTTTTTTGTGAACCTTTTTAATTGAAATTCAATCAAGATTTTTCTGAGATTATAAAAAGGGTTGAATTTATCCGCTCTATTCGCTGCAATATTTTAAAACCAATTAAATTCTTAGATATTGGCAATGAAATGGTTACCTCCGATAAAACTAACTGATTTGCAGGCTTATCCTACTGCACAAATATTTTCCGATGTGCATTAAAAGTACATAGTTTTTGAATGTTTTGCAGAAGGCACAATTCTAGCAAAAAAATTAGAAATTTAATATTAAAATCTGAAGATAAAACTGTTTTTGAGAGAAAACGTAAACTTATTTTCAGAGTTATTGAAATCTCACTCGTTTTGCTAAGCATAGCATAACTTAATTCGAATATGTATGTTAGTATTTTAGCGTTGTAGTGGGTAAATTATCAATGTAATATGTGTTAGCTGCCCCTTTCATTTATATACCACATATTTATACATTCAGAATTAGTCATTTCTAATACCAATGATTTTCTAAAAATATTTTCGGTGGCTAAACGTTCGCCGGGTCAGCTAGTATATATATAAATTACGTGCGGCCCGCCATAAAATTTTGAAAACCAAATTGGCCCATGGGTTAAAAAGGTTGCTCGCCCTTGGTTTAGATCAAAGTCAAATTAGAGCTTTATGTCCTGCCCTACCCTACTGTTTAATTACCAATACCAAAATTAGTAAAAAAAATATATTATTTTGGAAATATGATTATAAAAATGTATCATATACAACTTTTATAAAGTAATAATCTTATATATAAAAATGAATCGCAGAATGTGTTGGTAAGCGCATAACTCAATAACGCCTGGACCAATTTGGCCAATTATTTTTTTAACATGTATGTTGAAGTCCAAAGATGGTTCTTACGGCGAGAAAAAAACGAATAATTGCCGGGAAAACTCTAAAAACTGCCCTTTTTTCACATACAAACGTTTTCTAACAAAAACGTAGAATCAATTTGAGCTTCATTGCTATAATATAAAGTTCATATTAAATTACAAGCACTCACTGTTATCTAAGGCAGGTCCTGCCGTTTCGAAGATACGGAGCAAAAAGTGCCAAAAATGGTAATTCAGTTTTTGAAGCAACGGAGCGCCCGAATTGAATGATTTAATTTGAATTTTTTAATTTGAATGATTTAATTTGAACAAAATGAAGAATTGATTAAATTTTTAGAAAGGCTGCTCTAGCGGTTTCGGAGACACAGAAAAAAATGTAAAAAAAAATGATATTTAGCGGTCTAAAATGATCATTAGACATATGCATATCAAATTATCAGATATTTTATAGAGATTTTAAACATGTGAACTAATTTTGTTACATTGTTTTTGGTTCCGTATCAAGATTTTTAATTTCTAAAGTTCACTTATACGGTTCAAACAAATTTCAAAATTTCCAGCATGTTTTTTTCAACATTTTCAAAAATATACAAAATTTTATACATGCTTACATACACATTTAGACAGATGAAATGGCAGGCAGGTAAATGGGTAAAATGGTGGACAGATAAACTCGAAGATAAATAAAATGGACGATATGACAACTGGTAGGTAGACTAATTGATAGACAGGTAAATTGGTAGACAAGTAAATTGTTGAACAGGTAATTGGTAGACTGATAAACAGGTTGACATGTAAACGGGTGGACAGGACTAGATATCACACATATGCATTTTGGTTTAAATTTTTAATTGAAAGTAAAACACGGCGAAGCGTGAATTGGTACAGCTAGTATTTAATAAAATAAACGTATATACCAAGCCACCAATACAAAGAAAACTAATAGATTTTTATTTAATACATTAAAATGTATCATTTAATCTAAAATAGACATGTTGATATTACGTTGTTTTAATTAACTGACATTGCAATAACTAACGATTTTCTTTCGATCGGAATAGTCAATTTTGCATTGAAATCAAGTCATTGATAATAAAACAAAATTGACATTTCAAAATATATGCATCAAGACAGTCGGTTTAATTTGGCTCATATCCCGTAATTGCGTCAAAACACTGGCAAACTGCAGCAATATAATGCATTTGCTGCCCACGTATATTTTTTCATCCGTGAATATCTGCCAAAAGTAACACCTTCCTTATAATCGAAATATAAACACAAAAATTATAATGGAAAATTGACTCTAGCTGTAAATGCATTAATCATATACTGTCTTTGATTTAAAAAATAAAGAATTTGCGTTTTTGACAGGCAGTTGAACGAAGATACCAATTAATTGTTTTATTATTTATTTTTGAATAGCAATTAGAACTTAACAGTTCTGTGAACTGTTACTAATGACTTCTTCACAAAATCACTTTTCAGAAGACAGGTTGGTCTATCCATATTTGATATATTTTTATTAGGTTTTTTATTGCTGATGATATATTTTTAATTAGATACCAGTGAAGAATATTATCACTCGAAAACATATTATGAACTGATTAATACTGTAAAAGTAGTTACTCGTGCCATATAATTCCATACATATACCTAATTTATAAGCACTAGTATAGTAATTTTTAGAAAATGTCATCTCCTATCTTAAAAAAACTGTCAAATGTTGCTGGATATCTTGCAAAATGTAATTCAAATTTGATTTTGTTATTTTTCTTTTCAGAATATTCTCACAAAGCAAATTGTTTATTTACAAGCATATATAATTATTATTTTTTTTATCTTTTGCTAAGATGATTATATAATAGTTTATTGCTCTTGTAAATTATATTGACATCATGGTATTACAGTATTACTCAAGAAAATAGCAAATTTTGTGCGAACACAAATAGAAATTTTCAGCCTTGTGCCGTATTTTTCTCAAAATATAATGTTCTAAAAATATAAGGAGTACACAGTTTATATAGTACATAGTTTCAGCGGTGACATTTCTAGCCAAAACTAATATATATGTAAAAGAACTAATAAAATAATGAATAATTAATAAATAAATTAATTAGTTTGAGAAAATATTAAAATTCGAATTCATTCACTTTTTCATAAAACCACTTACGAAAAAACAATTAAAAATAACGTCACAACTAAAAAAATGTATTAAATGCGTTTACTAGTGCTATGTTAACACTTTTTGCTAAAAATCAGTTAAAATCTCATTATTATCAAAATTTAAAAAAAATCAAAGGCAGTATGGTTTGATTTTCTTACATAAAAAATGAGAATACACGCCCATGTTCATTGATAGATTTGCTTCAACGTTTTGAATTTTTTTCCACAAATAATTTACAAATAATTTTTTAAAAATTTGTTTGATAGAATGAAATGAAAAACGTAAGAAAACTAAACAGTAGGATAAACAAAAAACATAAAAAAGACACATGAACAAAAATAAAAGTATAAATTAGGTCTATTTTGAACATTTGTATAAAAAGTCAAAAATATAACTTTCTAACTATATATCTATAATAGCTATTTCAATCATCGTAATGTAAATGTGCTTGAAAATTAAATGTATATATTATAACAATGTATGTGTATTAAACCTACAAGTACTAAAATGAGTACACTTTTCCTAGAAACGTTATTTATATGTAATTAAAATTTATAATTACAATCTAATTGTATGATTCTAACAAAAATAAAAAATATTTAAAATTAAATTAGTAATTTAGATTTTTAAAACAATATCCATAATGCAATGACTAAAAAATATAGGTAAAGATCAAGGAATCACGCCAATGAATCAAAAAAACAAGAATTGTAAAATTTTCTTTTTTAATAGTTTATTTTTTGACTTTGTATTTAAGTAAGTTGTTTATATGATTTTTCAAAAATGTAAGTTGTATAACAATATATCATATTAAACTTGTCCAAATTAATACCAAAACATTGAATTCTGCGCTGTAATTTGTTAGCTTCATGTTTCATCGTTGTTTAGTTAGTTGTCTTATACGAGTATGTTCGTGCAGATGATGTATACATACTGCCTCGCGATTAGTTATTTTTACAAACTATTGCTTCACAGCGAATTTCGCTTGCAAGCCGCCAAAATATCAATTCAATTGCTTAAAACGCTATTGGAATGTGACCCTTTAAAACATCCAACTCTTTACTTCTTTTATCATATTTATAGTAAAAGAAAAATAAACTAACGTTATTACTCAATTGCTTAGAAAAATTGCCATATACCACCGTTGAACATTTTGTTACATATTTTTTATGCCAAAGTAAAGGTTCAGTTGATCCTTTTTACCACACCCAGATGCAAGCTTTTTTATTGGTTGCATAAAAAAAGATTGAATCTAACTTAAAATTAACAATACATCTTATAAAACAATTAAATAACGTATGCTAAAAAATTATATTATAATCTCGTAAACTAAACAACAGTGCTCACAACCAATATATGATTATTGGAACGGAAGAACAAAGAAAGAAAATATTTTTGTTATGGATTTTCTAACACAGCCGTTTGTCTCCCGATAGCGACGTCTTAAAAATCATGGTGATGGCTGGTTATCTTTTACCCTCTTCTTTCAAATATTGTTGTTAAAAAATTCTTAACTTTACTGGTCTTTGAGATATCGGTGGTGGACCGTTTTAACAGCGAAACTTTAAACCCCACTCTACCCTATATTATATATTTATATTTATATATATCAAAATAATATCAAAATAAATATATCAAAAATAATTTTGATTGATAACGTTCCATAGAAATAATGGAATTCCATAAAAATCAATCGAAATTAAGCAATATCATTATTTGATATATTAAGAAATATTTATAAACTCCAGGTAAAATTCATACTTTTTTAAAACTTAGAATTAGTTAAACAGAACTCAATGTTTGCATTCCAAATTTGGTAGTATAAATGGAATAAAAATACTTTATTTGCTTTTGTTTTTGTTTAATCTAATAAGATTAAACAAGAAACAGTTTAGCTAAGTAATCTCTAAAATCATCTTTTTGAATATTCTATTTAAGGATTCCAAATAAACTGCTTGAATGTTTAATATTGATTAGCCATTTTTGTAAGTATTGTAATACACATCATCACCAACATCTAAGATTTTGATAATTTCAGACAATATTTTAAAAACAATGTCAATCTAAATATATAAAAATGATTGTATGTCTGTCTGCCGGGTATGTCCAATATATTCATAAACCATACATCCAATCGCCGTGATAATTTGGGAAACTGTTTGGTACATCCCCGGACAGGTTTTCGCATAAGTTCATTGAAACCGCGTGGTAGTGGTAAGGGGTTGCACATTCCCGATTTTTTTTTTTTTGAGTCAATTCATTTTTTTATATAATGCGTGTATAAAAACTACATATAACCCTACATTTTACATATAACCCTCTTGCCACAAACCCATATTTCGTAAGAATTATAAAAGTTTAATTATAGTAATTAGATTATTTTTCACCTCAAATTCTATTAGTAAACATCTTTGACTGAATTTCGTTGAGATTTTTTGACTTATAAAAAAGCTCAATTTTACATAAAAAAAATAATTTTATTAAGAGTTTTTTTAACTAACACTTTTTTTAATGCATTGGTTGAGTTTTTTTGATTTTTTCAAATTTATATTTATAGCAACGTGTTGTGATCGGGTACAACTAGTTCAATATAAAATCTTACCCAAAGTGTTGCAGAATCATCCATTTTATTTCCGTGATCCGTGGTGTACGACGTTTTGTAGGTGTAAAATGTTGCCATTGTTATGTGCACACTGAAATTTAACTATAATTTAATAAGATAAACAGTATTTTTATGTCTTATATATATTTAATGAATAAATCACAATGCGCAATTAGAAGAAATATAAAATTTAGAATTATATGTAAAACAAAATAAAAGGTCTGAAGCAAAAATGATTAGGTTAATGAGTAATTACTAAATTACTAATTAATAATTTTTAACAACAGTAACTTGCAATGAATTTTAAGATATTGATTTAGATAATACACCTAAAATATTTATTGCAAAAACACCCAAACTATTTGAGCGCGACTCAAAATTTCGATGCTGATCGGTTCGAACGACTTATATCACGCGCCGGCTATTTCAAGACTAAAGAAGTTCTTTAAGAAACAAGATTCGTGAAATCTATTTGTATCGGTAAATCTATATCTATAGATATATATATATATAAATATATATATATATATATATATATAATATTATAAACATGCGCAAGATCTACTTCTAGAAGTTTGCGCGAATTTTCAAGTGCACACATACATGTGTTAGTCAGCTATTTTGGTAAAATCATGAGAAGCAGAGGCAGGGTGATCAAAAATTTGCGTCATGTCGTAATTTTATGTAGATCTTTTCATTACGATAATTCAATGTTGCCAATTGCAAAGTTTTCCTCACTCATCAACGACTTATTTACCACCAAAACATATGGTTTGTTGGTAAATAGAAAAGATATAATTAGCTTATTCATTATATGTTACTGATGTGAAATCAGTTAACTCTAATGTATTTGAAATATCTTTTCAAACATTGAGGCCCTTCTGAAACGAAAAGCTTAATATGGTATTCTAGCCTATCCATATTGTTCGGACGTATTTTCGTTTTATTATATTGGCCATGAAGGTGACAATCTTAATGGCATTGAGCTTTTACACGGAATGGTTACTACCAATGGTAGAGTGGGTAGCGGAGAGTTCGATGTAACTAATTGTTCACTTCTAAAAGGAAAGCCCGCGAAACAACATGGATAATGAATAATCAATAAATATATCTTCTTGCATTGTAACTTAGTAACAAATCAGTGATTGTGATAAGAACTGCAACAAATACAAAACAAATCAGTGTTTAATACAGTCCTCAGCTACAAGGGTTGAATTATAACCCAACAACCTGAGTTAATCGAAGGAGAGTTTTAATCAATTCTATAACTACGTATCGCAAATACACATATATTTCTTTTAAGTTAAAAGAAGCCAGAGTTTTAAATCATGCTTTAAAAGGCTATTACTTATTGCATAAATTTTGTGTGTTCATTCGTGGGCACTTCGATAAGTATATTGGAAAGCATAAAATTGAAGAACTCCCATATTTCATGTAGATCTTCGAAAACCATAACAATATTGAGCAATATTCGATACCCAAGCCTGATCAAATGAAACCAAAAGGAATTCATGTACATGAAGCACATTACCTGTAATCGCCAAAATGCAATATGGAAAAGCCTTGCAGATCTCTCATTTAGCTCTGTACATATGTTGCTCTCAACAGTGTAAAAGAAATAATAATCTAATTTTAGGAAGAGGAACATTCGTGCACCATATGTGCAAAACAATCGATACCAAACATTTTACGCAAGTTTTCATAAGTATTATTTCATGAAAGAAATATATAATTTATAATTTAAATCATTCACTATTTGGATAATCAATGGCACGAGTGCAGATATTTGAAATAATTCTGTATGCGCAATTTCGAGGTAATAATTAGTAAAATTACAGTGCAATTACTGCTATCATGTCAATCTATCACAAAATACAATACAATCTATCACAAAATCATAAGGTTTCATATGAAATAAAACAAGATAAATAAATCAATAAAAATAAAACCGTTAAGTACATATTATAAGCTAACACGATTTAAAATTACGTATATTTGAAGGCATTAATATGTTGATTATAATCTCAATAAATTTGTTATTCAGTTCATAGGATATAAATTTTATTTAAATTGTTTAAAAACCATGTTTAATCATTAAACATCCAATATGAAATAGATTCAAATGAAAAAATTAACTCTCTCGCTACGGATGTCGTCCATTGACGACATCCACATCACATGCTGTATGTACGGATGTCGTCCATGTACCATGGACATAATGTGTTTCAAACTTCACTCCAAGATTCAACACTATAAGTTAAATTATTGTAATTCTAATTTTTGTTGTATTTTTTAGATTATTAGAAATTTTATTGATAATGATAAAAAAATCTGAAAATAATAGGTTGTCAAATATCTCCCTTCCGCCTTTTTGTATTATAAACCAAGAGCAAAAAAGCGGAAGGGAGATATTTGACAACCTAATATATCGCTATGTCTGTCCGTTCAGTAGTAGTATTTAATATTTACTTTAATATTCAGTATTTACTTTATTATAATTTTCAGTATTTTGTAAATTGTATATAAATAAAACAAGCTCTTTACAAATACCCATCAATAATATTATTCTTGTAATTCTAAGAGTTTAAGAATGCTAACATGTCGAATGAATTTCAACAACTTGTAACTTACTTACCCAAAATTAAAAGTTCTACTATGCAAGAACTATATAGCTTGTATAGTGAATGTATTAACAAAAATAAAAATGATTAATTAAAAATTTCATTATAAAAACTGAAATTAGCTGTCGGTGCCACTTGGCAAAAATCCCATCGTAATATGATGCAGAAGCTAGATGAAGATAACATATTGCTCATTAGCGACTTGCGAAAACTTCCCGTTGATAAATTGTAAGAAAAAATAAATAATTTAGTGTAATTAAATTTAAGAACTTGTTGTAAACAGCATTATGCCTTAAGGCAAGTTGCATGAACATCCCGACATATGTAAATAATCGACTTAATCAACAAAAATTACAATTAGCTGTTGCATTAGCATGTGGTATACAAAGTTTCATCAAATTCATCATAAAAAATTGCAAAAACCAACCCTGCCGATCTTTAACAAAAACAAATCAACAACGCATTTGTCATCTGTTTTGCCTATAGGCGGCGTAAAATGGGACATCCAGAGTCTTATTTCTTATTTTAAAGCTATTTTACTAAATAGCAACTACATTATTCAACCAATGCAAAACGCATTTTGCAGAGAGATCACGGTTTATAACCTTGATCTGATATTTCGTCATAAATATTTATCAGCAAAGTTGGAATACCTATTATTTAATTTGTCTCTTGTAAAATTGCTTTATTTAACTTAATTTACTTTTTTATCTACTATTATTTATTGTTCACGCCTTTGCCATGGTAAAAGTTCAGTTGGTCTTTTTTACCACATACACGTTTAAGCTTTTATGAAGGTTATATGAAAAAACTGTTGAATCCAACTTAGAATTAACAATACATCTTATAAAACAATTAAATAACGTATACTTAAAAATTGTATTAAGGACTCTAAGAACAACGAAAATAATTTATTATTAATACTTGTAAGAATCAAGGTGATGGTTGGTCATCTTTTTACCTCTACTTGAATATTGTTGTTAAAAAAATTAACTTTACTTTTGTTTGAGATAATGATGGTCGACCTTTTTACTCGCGGACTTTAAAAACTCGCTCTACCCTATAAATTAAAGTCTTAAAATCGATTTTGAATCATAAAATATAGAAATATAAAATCACCTTATACAATGTATACTAATTCTTGGACCGAATATGATTAATAATAAAGCCAAATAAGATTCCACAAAACAAATTTAGCCAAAATTACGTTAGAGACACAATTACGAAAAGTTCCTCCTAAATTAAAATTTTGTATTACAAAATTTATATCCATGCTCAAATTGTCAAAACATATAGTCATTTATAAGTTTTCTCCAACGAGCACAAATTGGACAGCAATGAGGAAAACATTCTATGCTTTATATATTTTTTAGGAATAAATAAACTTAGTTATTAGTTGAAACTCAGGCTTGATTAATCAAACGAGGATTTAATAAACAATTTACTTCATTAAAATGAGTAATACGGAGATAGAAGCTATATAAATCTATTTTAGATTTAGATTACACAAATACGTCTTGAAACAGTTCAGTTGACCTATTTGCTCGATTGGATTCCGTTTCGTATCGTCGATATATTTTAATAACCATTAAGAATTAAACATAATTTACTTAATTATATTGCATTAGACTAGTGAATTGTTTATGTTCACAAAACGATTATGTTTGTAAACAGGCTATTGGGTAAACGGAAAATATAAGTCAATAATATTTTGTTTAGTGTTTCTATAAATTTCAACAAATGATCTTATTCCACATAAAATATCAATAAATTCTCAACAAAACTGGTATTTGTGTGAACAGGCTATTGAGCGAACGGAAAATATAAATCAATAATATCTAATGTCTAAATTAGAACTAGTCAATATTTTCTTTGGTGTTTTATTAATCAATTCAACATATGATCTTATTCCCCATAAATATCAAAAAAAAATCTATTTACCTTTCAAGCAATTTAAATTTTAGTTTATAAAGTTTAAAATCGAATTAAAAAATCAAGAGAAAGCAAAGTCTTTCAGTTTTAACATCTGGCAAAAATCAGCAGTCTTTCGTGAGATGTCCTATCAAATATGCTTTTCAGGGACCGATTATAGTGCATAGTATGTATTGTAACCTTGCAATTTACTATCATGTTAATTCTCAATGTACCTGAGCAATTTATAAAATTTATGTTTATTTTACATCTAAACAATTTATTTTAGAAAACATTCTTTTCTTTGCTTCATACCACATTATCGTCAAATTAATTTAATTATCTATATTATTCTATATTTGATCTATATTATTCTATATCAAATTTTATAAATTTAACGTCCGAATTACTTTGAAAAAAAAATAAAACAATAGGATTCTCACACTCCTTAAATAGTCTATAACTTGTGTAGGGTAAAACTGGGCTTAAAGGTCCGCGGGGAAAAAGGTCCACCACCGATATCACAGAAGAAGGCAAAAGCTGTGCCATTACCTTATTTCTTACGACGTC